TGTTGGCATTTTTTTTTTTAAAAAAAAGCACGTCCTCTGGCCATGTCTTCCTGGCCACCCTCACCCAGAGCCCCTCCACGTCTCCCCTGCTTTCCTGAGGTGGTCACTGTGAGCAGGCTGCTTCCTTCTGCCCTCGCCACATTACTCTCCTTTCTCAGCATCCAAAAAAAAAATAACATTAAATGTAAATCACATCACAGGCTCCTGTTTAATATTCTTCAATGACTTCTCAGTACACATAGGAAAACATATTCCAGTGTCTTCCTCATGGCCTGTTAATCCCTCCCCGACATCTTCCCCGCCATCTTTCCTGACCTTGTTTCTAGCTGCCTCGCTGTGGCTCACCCCCCCCCCAGCATTCCTGGCCTTTTTCCTGTTCCTCGAGAACCCCAAGATATGACAACATGGGCCTGTGGAAATGTCAGGTGCAGTTGAGAAGAACTTAATTAAAACCTAGGAGAGAGAAGAAAAACTGGAGTGTGGACCATTCTGGAGAAGATGGAGGGGGACGAGATCTGAAGCCAGGTGGACAGGTTGGTCTTCTCCAGTAGGAGAGGCGTCTGCTCCCATCTTATAGGAAGAGGGAGACCAGGAGGTGTGGAAATAATTGCTGGATCTGAGGCCTTGATAAGGGGACGAGGGAGGAGAACAGGAAGATCAGAACACCTACACCAGTCACAGCTAAAACCCAGGAGAGGGCCGAGGCTGGGGCTCAGCGGTGGAGCGCTCGCCTAGCACATGTGAGGCCCTGGGTTCGATTCTCAGCACCACATAAAAGTAAATAAATAAAATAAAGGTATTGTGTTCAACTACAACTAAAAAATAAATATTAGGAAAAAAACCCAGGAGACAGATCAATGGCTTGTCATTCATTCACCCATTCATTCAACAGATATATATATTTTTGAACTTCTGCTAATTGCCGGGAACTGATGTTAGGCACTAACGCTGGTATGGAGTCAATTTTGCTTAGCCATTGAACGTCAAAAAACAGAAGACGCACTGGGTGAGGCCTTGGAAAGTATCTTTCGCTTCTGAGCCTGTTTCCTTCTCTGGAATAATAATAATGCCTGCTTTGTTGATTATAGTAGTTAATTACATAGTACTACAAAGAGCATTGCGTTTGGGCTGGGGATGGGTCTTGGCGGTAGAGCACTTGCCTGGCATGCCCAAGGCCATGGGTTCAATCCCCAGCATTACCAAAGAAGAGAAAGAAGGTCTGCTTTCATCCAAAGTGACAGCCAGCTTGGTAGGTCTGGGAAGGAAGGGACCGTAACTATTTTGTTCACTGATCCCCTAATGATAAATAACTGATTATTTATGGAATAAATGAGTTTTAGGAAGAGGGGAAATTGCAGCTTTGTAGACTTTAAACAGCTACTAGAAATCTTACTGGCAAAGTAACCTGGGTAATTCATGTCACTAACAGTTGGATCTTGGTGCCATGACACTGTCTTATTATTAGGGCCCCTGACTGTGGGAGCCCTCGCAAATTACATGCTTTGGGCACGTTGTCTGTAGCCTGATGGTCAAAGCCACCCAAGCCCCCTGGCTTCCCTCTGCTCTCTTCACTGGGCCTTCAGGGCCTGCCCCGAGCCAGACACACGCTTACCCACCAATACCCACTGACTTACAGGTCGGGTACCATTTCCTCTCAGATGCTGTACATACCAGACTCCAGATCCACGGAGATCTTGACAGGTTGTCAATTAGCTGGAGTAAAAAGGAGGTGCCTTTGAATGGAGCTCAGTGTAAAGCAAGCTCTGAGGTCTGAGAGATGAGTGGCAAAGAATGGATGTGACAGTAGCGAACAGCCACTCCTGTGCTAAAGAAAAAGAAAGACAAACTAACATGCAAAAAAATACCTCCTCCAGGGGACCCAAATCTGGAACAGGCCGTGTAAAAATAGTTCCTTTCAGTTCTGATTTTTTTTTTTTTGCATCAACTTCAAATTAATAGGTTTATAATATGGCATAAATTCCATAATAAAATAATGGATTGATCTTTGCAATTAAAGCAGAAATAAGACGTGGGTACATTCCTTATAGTTAGCCTGAACTAATGGTTGGTCACCAGCATCTAAATACAGAAGTCCAGCTAATGACATTGGCTTGAATCAGAATTTACTTTAAAAAAAAAAAATTGTCCCTGAGTTTATCTTTTTCTATTTGGTCAAATATTAAAAAAAAAAAATTCTAGCCAGGCATAGTGGCATACCCCTGTAATCCCAGTGGCTTGGGAGGCTGAGGCAGGAGGATCATGAGTTTAAGGCCAGCTTTAACAATTTAGCTAGGAGGCACTAAGGAACTCAGTGAGACCCTGTCTCTAAATAGAATACAAAAAAGGGCTGGGGATGGGGCTCAGTGGTTAAGTGGCCCTGGGTTCAATCCCCAGCACCAAAGACGAAAAAAAAAATTATTTGCCCTCCTTCTAAGAATTGCTATGAAAATGATCTTGGATAGCTGGCTTAAGTTCAATAGAAATTCTGGCATGACTTGGTGCCATCCTAAGTGCCTTGTCTGCTCCCACATTGAATCTTTATTCCGGTCTTGAGACTGGACCAGGGATTAGCCTGTTTTTAGGTGAGGAATGGAAGCCCAAAAGTCGGGTAAGTAACTTCACCCAGGAGACAGGGATCATCAGAACTCTGAAGTCAGGCAAATCTGATTCCCAAGGCTGTGTTTCTTAACCCCATGTCTCCAAAGGAGACGATTAAATCTGGTGAGGACCAAACCAGCACACAAACATGAAGACATCCCAAATACTTTGGAGAACATGTCACCCGACGACAAGTCTGATTATTCATGATCAGGGCTATGGCTTTGGTTTGAAAACTCTGCACTGCCCCACCATTATACACTAACAAGGTCCAGCTCTATGTGAATTTCTCTAGCAGGCAAATTCCTCTGGCTTAATAATAGTGCTTGCTGCGAAAGCTCAAAACCCAACAGCAATTAATTATTGACAGAGCATGTGAATTAGAGATAAAAGAAAAGGCATTCTCCCTCCACACGTGCGATAGTAAATAAATTTAATTATGGTAGGAGAAGCTAAGGGATCTTCGTCTGTATTAACTTTTATTAGCTGAGACATTTAAAAGCATGTCATCATAACAAAGAGGTCTTGTGTAATCCTAAATGTACCACTTTGGTGCAAGGCTCGGAAGTGAATAGACTTAATGGAGCTCCTGGTGGCAGATGGCTCGCGGTACCAACAGGTATTGAACAGGTTCATCGTCAATTAACTCTGGTCTACATATGCCTACAGCAAATTGACTGCCTCATAGGATCCTGAGCCTCATTTGATCACTGACAGGCCTGCTACATTGGGATTTGGGGGGATGGCATTAAACCCCTTTAATATCTTGGAGCCAGATAAGATGGCATCATTCTGAAGGTAAACAGGTGAAGGGGTGGCCAATAGGGAGAAGCACCCTTGTCAAAGAAACCAAAAGACACAGGTGGTGGTGTGGAATCTGTATTAGTTCGTTTTCCGTTACTGTAGCAAATGCCTCAGATAATCAACTCAACAAGAGGAAAGGTTTATTTCAGCTCATGGTTTCAGACGGTTTCAGTCCACGGTTGATTGTTCTGGTTGCTTTTGGGCCTGTGGCAGCACAGTACATCATGGAAGGAGCACATGGTGAAGAAACCCATTCATCTACTGGCCCCAGTACACAAATAGGTAAAAGAGAGGAAGGGGCTGGGTTCCCAATAGCCCTTTCAAGGTCATGCCCCCAATGACCTAAATTCTCCCTCCAGGCCCCACCTCTTGAAGGTTCTACTCCCTTCCAATAGTTCCACCATTTAGCATGAGGCGTAGGGGGACATTCTAGATGTAACTAGAGCAGGATCTTTCCGGGGGCTCACTGGACAAACTTGGGAGCAAAGGAAGAAGAAAATCCTCCTTACTGAAGCAGACCCATATTAGATGCTTTCACCCTATATGTCATTTTATTGTCAACTAAACTTGAGGTAAGCTTTAGGATTGTTTGAATGAGTTTAATAAGAACCAGAGATGCGATTCCAATTACTAAGGTCACAAAACCTTTGTGATTCCTGTGTCCATTCCCTGTTCCTGGCCTTCGGTTTCCTCATCTGTACAATAACGCCTTTGGACAATGTCAGGGGTCAGCACACTTTTTATGTAAGGGCCATACAATCAGTGTGCTAGGTTTTGTGGGCCACAAGGACTCTGTTGCACCTGTCAGCTCAGGTGTCATGGCCCCAATGCAGCCATAGCACGTGGAATGAGAGTGAGTGTGTCCTAGTGAAGATCTATCGATGAACATCAAAATTTGAATCCTGTATAATTTTCATGGACCACGCAGTATTATTATGTTATCATCACCATCATCGTCGTCGTCATCATCATCATCATCACTATTATTATTATTACTATTATTATTATTATTGTGTGTTTATTTCAACTATTTAAAGACTGCAAATCCTTCTTTGCTGTGAGTCACATAAAAAGAAAGAGGTGGAAAGTAGTTTTCCAAGCCTGGACTCGATAATCCCGGAGGTCTTGTTGAGCTCAAACATTTTCTGAAAGCCGCTAGGACAATAAGATCCTTAATTTATTAAGCTCTTGTACATGACAGATTCTGTGCTAAATGCTTTTCAAACATTATCTCCCTTAATCCTTACACTACAGTGTGAAGCCAGTGCTATCATTATCTGCATTTCGGAGATTATAAAACTAATATGGAGAGAAATTAGGGGCATATCTAGGTTAAACATAACTGGTAAGAGGTAGAAAAGCAATTTAAACCCAGGGGTATAAGGTTCCCAGAAAAGAATGTGGGAGCCTCTTCGGCCTCTTTGGATAATGACATAGTCAAGACTCTAGTTGGGACATGTAAATCCAAAGAACCCCCAAGTGCTTATCATTTTATTTGGTGGCTTCTCACGAGGTTCCTCTTATCATACATTTTTTTGATAAAAGAAAAAAATTAAAGTATTTCTAGATCGGAATAACCATTCTCTTTCCTTTTCCAGGAACGTGATGCCCAAGACGGTGGAGGGGCAGATAACCATGGAGAAGACCCCAAGTTACTTCGTGACCAACGAGGCCCCCAAGCGCATCCACTCCATGGCCAAGGACATCAAACTGATCGTGGTGGTGAGAAACCCCGTGACCAGGGCCATTTCCGACTACACCCAGACGCTGTCCAAGAAACCCGAGATCCCCACCTTCGAGGTGCTGGCCTTCAAAAACCGGACCCTGGGGCTCATCGACGCGTCCTGGAGCGCCATCCGCATCGGGATCTACGCCCTGCACCTGGAGAACTGGCTGCAGTACTTCCCGCTCTCCCAGATCCTCTTCGTGAGCGGGGAGCGGCTCATAGTGGACCCCGCGGGGGAGATGGCCAAGGTGCAGGATTTCCTGGGCCTCAAGCGTGTGGTGACCGAGAGACATTTCTATTTCAACAAAACCAAGGGGTTCCCTTGCCTCAAGAAGCCGGAAGACAGCAGCGCCCCCAGGTGCCTGGGCAAGAGCAAAGGTCGGACTCATCCTCGCATAGACCCCGACGTCATCCACAGACTGCGGAAATTCTACAAACCCTTCAACATGATGTTCTACCAAATGACTGGCCAGGATTTCCAATGGGAGCAGGAAGAGGGGGACAAATGAGACGATAGCGCTGGGGAGGGAAGGCAGGTGAATGGCAAGGAGGCTCCTCACCGGGGGCCTAGGTCCCCCAGGGTCTGCAGCCACCCAGTAGGTCCCCTTCTTCCAGCTGGGAGTGTTCCCAGGGCTGCTGGCTTAGGCGGAGGGGTGGATCCCACAGCAACCCCCCTGGAGGAACCAGGTCTATCTGAGCCGCAGTGTCTGGTTGACCAGATGGCCACAGAACCCACCATTCATTCTTATCTCCTACCAGCTGGTAGAGTCTGGTACCTCTCCCGTATCAAAGACAGTGCCATGAATGTTTATTTGGACGACGAAAAAGAAAGATCTACTTCATGGGGTGCTCTTAGTTGGGGGAAACCTGGGTTCTAGACCTGTACCTGGCTTTACATCTGAACCTCTGGTTGGGCTTCTTCCAGAATGTGGTATGTGCCTGAGACCCTCAGGCCTCCTGGGGAGCAGAGTCCTCCCTCTAAGGCATGTCTAGCCTTCTCATCCTCCCAGGCCCTTGATTCTCTTCTTCCCCGCCTTGCGAAGACAGAGGCATGCACAAACATTCCTCACCCTGCCCTCCCCTTCCAAAAAAAAAAAAAATAGCGAACATCCCTGGGAGCCTTCCTGCTAAGGATCCCTCTCATCATGAGCATCCTGGGTGGTGGGAAGCTTAGCCTACGTCCTCATGTGAGAAAATCCAGCCCACAAGCCTTCTCTCAGAGCCCTGTGATCATAGCCAAGTCCAAAGCCCTGGTGTTGGCAAAAGATGAATGGCACATTTTAGGGAGAAAGAAGAAATCCGATCCTCTTTGGTGGGAGGTCTCCTTAAACTAAAGACCCTCTCCCCCCAAAGCACGGTGGTCCTGAGGCATGCTTTTGGGATGGACTCAGTCCCCTAGGGTCCCCCAGAGAGGCACAGACCAGAGAGTCAGCATGTCTTTTTGTTATGAATCACCCTTCGAGATGCAGTGGGGGAAGGGATCACTGACTGTTGTTCTGTTTTTTCCCGCCTCCACCCCCACAGGGTCATCTCATGATTCATTTTCCTTCTTCAGAGATGGCACATATGGGACAAGGGCACAAGGGCTGATTCCATTTATCAGCTCCAGTTTAAGGGGGGGGTGGGGGAGGGCAAGGGCTGTCTGCAGACACCCCCATCAAGGGCTGCCAAACAAAGTGACCCTTCCCATGAGTCTGATTTGATTCAAATGCAGCATTTGACATCAAAGCACTTGTTCACAGATCACCCAAACCAGGAATTGTTCTAGTAAAATTTGAAATTTGTATGAGCGTGGGGTGGGGGGAGTCGAACCTGCTCAGCTGTTATTAAACTGTCATTTCTCCCACTCAATGAAAACTGTGTTGTTATAAAGCTTAATGCAATCTAACTCATGGGTTTCTGTCGCCTGTTTGTGTTGGTCCTGTCTATCCCCACCCTCACCCTGCAAGCCCACGAGTATCTTTCTCTAGTCACAAAGAAAGACCTAGGTTGGAGAGTTTTTGGAGAATTCTGTCTGTGGGGCAGGATGATTTCTTTTCTTTTTCTTTTTTTTTTTTTGCAATAGAATATGGTACCTAAGAGGGAGTACAGATGTCCCTGTCTTCACCACTCCTGGCAAGGGATGGGCTGATTTTCCAGATTCCGAAAAACAGCTTTACAAATGTGTTTTTTTTTCCCCCTAGATAAGAGAAATTGAACAGACGGCAATAGATATACTTTCAATACCAATGTAAAAGAAGATATAGATCAAAATGCACAGACACACGCATAGAAGGAAGAGAATGGATTTGGGCTGGTGCAGAAGGTGTGCGGTGTGTCCAGCACGTGTGGGTGGGGTTTGTAATGAAAAGAGCCAAGGAGGACATGGGTTTTCACCAGCTACACCTCACTGTCAGCCAGGGGGTTGTTCAAGGCACAGCTCCGTTTCCAACCCATTGGCTCAGAAACGAGAGTAGGGCTCAGGCATGGATCCCTTCCAAAATATTCTTAAAGAAGGCGGGATTGAGAACACCTGGAGTCTCATCTGTACATCTCTTTTCCTTCTTGTCCTCCTCTCACCTGGCTTTTAGGCTTTGGCAAGAATCATTCCTAAGGGAAGTGCCTCCCCAGGGTTTTATGGTTTCCTTGTAAGAACATGTTCTCTCCTGGAGTTCAATGGCAGCTAGGTAAGGAGCAACTTTATAATTTAGACATAGGAATACATATCTGGTTCTAAGAAAGCTTTAAAGATACCAATCTACTGAGAATGGCTGTTGCCGCATCCTCCCCTCCTCTCTTTAGAGAAGATGTAGAGAAGGGTAAGATGGACGTGGATTCAGATGGTCAACCACACCTGACTCTCCATTTCCCGTCTCCCTGTCTGTCTACCTGTCCTCATAAACCCAGCACGTCAATACCTTCAGTGCTTCTTCCAAAGAAAGCTAGTAAGCGTGCGTCCTCACATAAATATGTCACATAAATATGACGAACAAATGCATTTTTTAATATGGTTAGCCAGTAGTAAATAAGCCATTTTCACCTGGGAAATAAACACAGGGAAATCCCTCTCTCCTAAACCCTTTATATACCCTTCTTTATAACAACAGAATGAAATTCTCTGAGTAAAAAGGGCAGAGGTCTCACCTTGGGATCATGAGGACTTGTAAGAGTCTGTTTGGCAAAATGGTTGAAAAGCTCCTGGTTCTGAAAAGAAAGGCACATTTGACACATTTAAGGTCTGTTTTCTTCGATGCCTACTCTGTTTTGATGCTTGTGACTGAGGGGGTGAGCCACTAAGCCAAGTCCCCTTTGTCACTGGAGAGGCTTGATGAAGAAATTATCTTCTATCCAGAAAAACCAAGTCAACATACTCTGGCCACATTTAAATGTGAGCGTGGCCATGCACAGGGGATTGAATTTTGTATTTGATTTCAATTAGAAAAAAGCATAAATCATGTTTAATTTTCTATTCTCCTCCCTTTCCTCCAATGGATGATTCATGGCTCTGGGATGGCTACTGCATGTGGCTCACAGATGAGAAAAGATAATTTTTCCTTCCAAAGAAGGCAGCCAAAATCACTCCTATATTTGTCTCTTTTGCAAATATCATGTACCTGAAAGAAAAAGAAACACCATTCTGTGCATGAAAGCCAAGAACCTGCAGTTTAGAGCTACCAGCTTAGAATACAGCAACCAGAATAGCAAAAGCATCCAGCACCCTTATTTATTTTTAGTTTGTTTATGAGAAACTGCATGGACTCCTTGCAACTCCAGGAGCACCTCAAAGCAAATTTTAAGTCCAGGAGATACAAGACTCTGAGATACAAAACCCAGAGTCCCCATCTGAGCCTCGCTTCTCTACAGCCTCAACTCCTCTTCTTCTTGTTTCTTCACTTTCCTGCCCCCTCTCATTTGATCACCTCATTATTTCCCAAAGATCACATCTCCATTGTCTCACTTCTATCAAAAGAGAGGTAGCTGGGTTTTTATCCTTGCCTACGTCTGTCTTGGGCAAGGAAAATTACCAATCTGGATTTTAGTTTTCATGTCATATAACACAGTAGGTTTAATCCCTACCTGACCTCCCACCCAGATTAAAATGAGTTAATACATTGGAAGGCATTTGAAAGGAATTAAATGCTTCATTGACATCAAGGGTGGTGATGGGGATGATCATCATGGGGATACTCATGCTGCAGGGCTTCTAGAAATGAAGATGATGATGGTGATGATGATAGTGGTGATGATGGTGATGGTAGTGGTGATGCTGATGGTGATGGTGATGGTGGTGATGATGATGATGATGATGATAGTGGTGGTGGTGACAGTGGTGATGGTGATGGTGGTGGTGAGGTGATAATGGTGATGATGATGATGGTGATGATGGTGATGATGGTAATGATGATAGTGGTGATGGTGATGGTAGTATGGTGGTGATGGTGATGATGATGATGGTGATGGTGATGGCAGTGGTGGTGATGGCAGTGATGGTGATAATGGTGGTAATGGTGGTGATGGTGGTAGTGGTGATGATGATGATGGTGATGATGGTGGTGATGATGGTGATGGTGGTGATGGTGATGGTGATGGCAGTGATGGTGATGATTGTGGTAATGGTAGTGATGGTGATGGTGGTGGTGATGATGATGATGATGATGATGGTGATGATGATGATGGTGGTGATGGTGGTGATACTGACACTACAGAACTGCTAGTGGTGAAGATGCTGATTGGCAGGGCCGCTAATCAGGAAGAAAAATTAAGGAGGAGGAGAAGGAGGCTCATGATACCACTTCCAGAGCAGTATGTCTTAATAGAGTTTCAAGAGGGCATCTTCAGTTGATTCCACTCTTCTATTCATATGCAATCATTGTGAGAGTGCTGAGAAGAAGTGGAACATCATTGATTTGGGCAAAACCCATGCCAGGAAGGAACATCACACACTCACATGGATACCTTCCCCCTACCCAGGAGCAGGGTCCTTCTTTTACTCCATAGATCGGTGTTTTCCTGGATCCATGTTCAAAATGTTTTTTAGATATAATGAAGCTCCAAGATTCATTCACACAAGCCCAAACAGACCCTCTTAAAATGGACGTGAGGGTGATATTTTCAAGCTCCAAGCCAGGAACTTAGTGGCTGAAATCCTGACTCCTGAAATTTTTACATGGAAGACAAAGATAGTTGAAAACCAGGCACATGCCTGGAAGCAGGTATCACGTGTTTCTGGAAATAAGGAGAGGATCCCCTCAGGTTCTTCTGGTAACAAATCAGGGTAGGGAGAGCCGAGCTCATGTTTTGCAGTTTCTCATAGGAATGAGGAATTGTCATTTTCAGACATAAGAGTCATGGACCATCTCTCTTTTAAATTGTGAAATACCTTCCATGACATAAAAGTGCATCCAATGTCATCAAGGCAGGAAATAAAGACCCAAAATGTGCATATCTACAGTGGAAAATAAGCAAGGATCTCTAGCGCTCCAGAGGAATGAGGGTAAGGATATGGATATGGGACAATGAGGTTTCTGTAGGTTCAAACATGATTCTTTCAGTCTTTGATCCCACGCGTATCTATAGAGTGACCCAGTGGAAATTGAAAGAGATCTGGGGAAGAGCAAAGATGACCTTTCTTGATAGGACTCCCAGCCCAATGGAGAAGATGGACACGGGGGCCCATAGAGCAAAGGATTCACACTTTCACAAGAGGGGGTGCACACAGCATGCATGAAATGGGACAGGTTAGAGGTGATGTAGGATAGAACCAATGAGAGGAAAGGAAAGACCACCTGGTACCGTAGCATGAAGGACCACGCGTGCTCAGAGCATTTGCCCCATCCCAAGTCATAAGACGATTGTTGCATTTCAGAATGTGGCTATCGCACAATGAGATGTAAAAATACATGAGATCCAGAAATTATGAAGGTTGTTAGGCAATTGGGGGTAAAAAGAGAGAAGCGTGCACAAAGGACACTGGTATTGAGAAAAATCTTTCCCAGAAAATACTGGACCTTTTCTTCAAGTGACCATAGCCCAGTCATTAATAAGAAACCCACATCCTTCCAGTGACTCTTGACCTCTCATAGTTTCCTTAGCATTATCTGAGACCAAGGTTAAAGGTGAACCTCTTCCCTCAGTGGTCAGCTATTTGCTTACTTATAAAGCAAGAAAGAAATATTAACACAAGGGAAATCCACCTTTTCCAAAAATGGGCTAAAATCAATAATAGTGAAAGCACACTCACACCCTTGCACATATGAAATTAGATGAGCATGTAATGTAAATCAGTCCTATACCCTCAGGGAAGATCAGCAAATCTTACAGCTGTATTTTAAAGATGGGAACTGTGAGGGCTGGGCAAAATAAGGGATTTCCCCAAATTTCCCTATCAACGTAATACTAAAGTAAATGTAATGTAATACTAAAGTAAACCAAGAACACTCTTTTCTCACTGGGAAAAGTGGGGAGGGGAAGTTCATGTAGAGTCAGCCCTAATAACAGCAGTAAATATGACTTCCAAGGTATTTTCTTATTTCTCTTATCTCAGGAAAAGTCAGTTTGAAGAACTTTGACCCCATCTAATTGAAAAAAGACCACTTTGAAATCGGAGAACTGATGATGAGTTTTAGTTGCAGAGAGAATAATACCCGTTTGGGGAATGGTCCATGGGGCCATGAGCAGGCTAGAGCTTGGCCAGCCTTTCAAGTTTGAGAATCAGAAAGATCTTCATTGGATTCCAGGCACAGGCCAGTAAAATGGAACTGGGAATTTTGGTGCAGATTTGTGTCTTATGTCTTCCCTTTCACAAATGCAAACCCAGGAAACATCCTGTGCTACCTCAGGTAACAGAGAAGAGTCAAGCTTCCAAACTGGATTCACTGACTTTTCTTCCTCTG